CCGAAGCCCGAGCCGGCCACGACGCACCCGCGTGCGCGCATCCCTCTCGAGCTCCGCGAACCTCCCCTCGCCTCCCCGAAAACCATCCCTGAGGGGGCAGGCCCGTGGGAAAACCTCCCCCCAACCCCCCCTGACGGGCGGTGGGGGCTCGGGGGAGTCTTCCGAGCGGGGGGTCTGGAACTCCCGCGCCCTGCTGCCGCCACCAGAGCGGCCAGCGCCCTTCAGCACCAGAGCGGCTCCGCGGGCCGCCCCACTGGGCGTGGCGGGCGAGCCCCGCAGGCCGCCCTGCAGCGCGGGCCGGGCGGCCGCGCCGCCGCGGGCCCGCCGCCCGCTGGCACAGCTGGCGGCGCTGTCGGCCGAGGGCGCCGCCGGCCGGCTCGCGGCTCTCGGCCGAGGCGCTCCTGGCTCGGTATGATCAGTCGCCACGGTGAGGTTGGGCGTGTCCCCCGACAGGCAGAGTTGGGGCGAAAAATGAAAGAACTGTTCCAAAAAGACACCCAGACAATGGAAACAAAATTCCAATAATGGTCCCCAGACTATCTTTGATTTATTTTTGAATATTCCTGCTGCAGGGAGACACGCACGACTTAAGGCCACGGGTGGCGGGGCCAGAGGCGGCCAGTCCCGCGATTGCCGGACCCCACGCCGACCCGCCCGGATCGGAAGGGCAACCTCGGCCCTCGGGGGCGTTCCTGCCTCTCTCGGATGTGGAAAAGATGTCTGGCCGAACAAACCATCCTCCTCCTCCTCCGCCTCCTCCGCCTCCTCCGCCTCCTCCTCCTCCTTCCCCTCGCTGACCTCCACCTCATCCTGACCCTCTCCCTTCTCCTCATCCCTCCATCCCTCCCTCCCTCCCTCCTCCTTCCCTCCATCCCTCTTTTCATCCCTCCCTCGCCCTCCTCCCCCTCATCCTCCTAGTCCTCATCCCCCGCATCCTCATCACCCCCCTCTCTCCCTCTTCCGTCCTCTCCCTCCTCCTCCTCCTCCTCCTCCTCTCCTCCTCCTCCTCCTCCTCCTCATCATCATCATCATCATCGTCATCATCATCACATCAGCATCATCATCAAAACATCATCATCATCTCATCATCGTCATCATCAGCATCATCCCATCATCATCCTCATCATCATCATCATCATCATCATCATCGTTCATCATCATCATCATCATCATCATCAACCTCATCATCATCATCATCAGCATCATCATCATCATCATCCTCATCATCATCACATCATTACATAATCATCATCATCAGCATCATCATCATCCATCATCATCCGTCATCATCCATCATCGTCGTCATCATCATCATCATCACCACCATCATCATCATCATCATCATCAGCAGCAGCAGCATCATCATCATCATCATGATCATCATCATCAGCAGCATCATCATCATCAGCATCATCATCAGCATCATCAGCATCAACAACAGCAGCAGCATCATCATCCACATCATCAGCAGCATAACCAGCATCAGCATCATCATCAGCATCAGAATCAGCATCAGCAACATCATCATAATGATCATCATCAGCAGCAGCATGATCATCGTCATCATCATGATCAGCATCATCATCATCATCATCATCATCATCATCATCATCATCTTCATCATCATCATCATCATCGTCATCATCATCAGCATCATCACCATGATCGAGATCCTCACTAGCAGCAGCATCATAATCATCATCAGCATCATCATCATCAGCATCATTGCTATCATTTCCATCACAATCATGATCGCCATCAGCATTACAAGAATCAGCATCATCAGCATCTCCACCATCATCATCATCGTCATTATCATCAGCAGCGTCATCATCAGCATCATCAGCATCATCATAAGCATCATCATAAGCATCGTCATCATCGACATCATCAGCATCATCAGCAACAGCACCATCAGCATGAGCATCATCATCCTCATCATCATCACCAGCATCAGCATCAACATCATCATCATCATCAGTATCGTCATCATCATCGTACTCATCGACATCATCCTCATCATCAGCAGGAGCATCATCAACATCATCATACTCATCATCATCACCACAATCATCATCAGCAGCAGCATCAGCATCATCATAAGCATCAGCGCCATCAGTATCATCATCAGCATCACCATCAGCAGCAGCAGCATCATCGTCCACATCATCAGCACCATCATCATCAGCAGCCGCACCAGCAGCACCAGCATCCGCATCGACATCAGCATAATCGTCATCACCATAAACATCGTCACCATCATCATCACCATCTTCCGCATCAGCATCATCATCATCATCATCATCACCACTACCACCATCAGCATCACATTCACAGTCATCATAACCATACTCGTCTTAACCCTCCGCACCATCACCCCGCAGGGCGACATCCGACTGCAGGAATGAGCGCGCGGCGCGGGGCTGCGGAGGCTGCGCGAAGAGCGGCCTCTGTGGAGTCCGCCGCCGAGGCATCCGCCAGCCACTGCCGCACGAGGGCGATGCCGCCGAGCTCCTCGCCGAAGGCCGCTAAGGGCTTGAATACGTCAGTGGTGCCTCGGCTCGCACAGGAACGTCCACGGATTGTCGAATAACCGGGGCATCTCAAAAGATACCTCGATGTTTCCGGATGCGCCTCGATCCGCTTGGATTTACATCGAGCTCTCAGGCGTGATCCCTGCACATCGATTGAACAAAACTCGTCAAGCCCGTAATGAGAAAAGCGGGATGGGGAGAAGGGCGAGGGGGACTCTGCTGCGCGCTCCGCTTCCCTGTTTCTGGGGGGGGGTCTTGGGGGTGGGGAGGTCCTCGCCGCCGCTGCCGGATCCGCCCCTAGACCCTGGTCCGAGCGCGCCTTGGAGATCCTGGACAGGTCGGGGGAGGAGGGGGGGGCAGTTCTAGAGGGTGGAGGGAGGAGATGAGGGGCGAGGAGAGAAGAGGTATAAAAAAAACAGGAGAAGGAAGGAGGAAAAAGGAGAGGGGAGAGGAGGAGAGAGGAAAGAAGGAGAGAGGCAAGCCAAGCGCGCGGGCCCCATATCTGCCATCATACCCTCCCCCTTTCCCACTGCGGTCCCTCATTTTTTCAAAATCCGCCGACGGCTGTATTAGCGGACGCGGGACCCCCAGAAGGACCCCGTCGTGTTTTGCACAATCAAGAGAGTGGAGCTATGCACATTGGACATACTGGAGGAGGAGTGGGAGGTGGATGAGCAAGAAGATGATAAGCAGGAGGAAGAAGGTGCGGACAAAGAAAAAGGACGAGGAAAAACAGCAGCAGCAGGAGCAGGAGTACAGGAGTACGAGGAGCAGGGGGACCAGGGGAAGGCGGAGGAGGGGCAAGGAGGGGGGCGACACCGAGAAGGACTTGGATACAGAAGTGTGATCCGCGCTGGGACCAAAGCCCCATCCTGAAAAACGGGAGTAAAAGTCGATCCGAAAATGAAGCCAACGCTGCAGCGGGAGCACCATCGGAAGAAAGATCCGATTCGGAAGTACATGGTTGCCAGCGTGGACCACAGTGGTGTCAGGTAAACCCATAGCGCAACATCTGTGGTCCCCTGTACGTGGTGTGAGCTACGCGGTGGAAGCTATGTGGTGCGACGTTTCTATATGCAATGAAATGAACTGTCCATGTATACATATAAATGCATGATATACTTGTATACAATTATACATGCATACATATATGTGTATATATATATATGTATGTATAGATACATATATACATAGGTATATGCATATGTGTGTGCGTATGGGTGTGTATGTATGCATGTATGTATGCAGGCATACATACATGCATGTGTGCATGCATAAATAAATGTATGTACGTACGTACGTATGTATGTATGCGTGTATGTATGTATGTCAGTATGTACGGATGAATTGATGGATGGATGTGTGTATGCATGTGTGTGCGTATGTGTGTATGCATGCATCCACGCATGTAATTATGTATGTAGGTGTGTATGTACGCATGTACGTATGAATGTGTGTATGTATGTATGGATGTATGGATGGGGGGAAATGCTGATGTATGCATGCATGCATGTATGTATGTTTAAAGATATGTATATACGTACGTATGTATGTTTGTGTGGTGTGCGCGCGCATGTATGTGTGTAGGTATGTACGTATGCATATAGGTCGGTAGGTAAGTATGTATACATGTCTGCATATATCAATGCACCTACATGTGTGTGAACAAATGGCATAGTGTATAAGCCATGTGGCACAGGCTACGTCGTGCAATTAATGTTTGTAAGCAGTCATGTAGTTGGCCACTCCATTGGTCGCGCAAGCATCCCACCATCCCTCACGCAGTTTGGCTTACATGACCCATGCGGCAACGACTGCGGATGTGCTCGGCGCTGGGTGGCGCATGCTTGCGGCCGCGCTGTCGCGCGCACGCTCGCGCGCAGCGGCCAGCTGGTTTGGCTCAGCCGAGGTGGCCGCGATGGCACTTCTGGCGGCGCGCTGAGGGGGGTAGGGGGAGGGGGAAGGCTTCTTAGAAGGAGGCTGCTTCTGAGGAGGCGCAGGCCTTACATCTACAGAGAAGGCCCGTGCCTTCCAAGAAGCAGGGGTGTTTCTAAGAAGCCTTCCCCCCTCCCCCATACCCCCCACTGCGCGTGGCTGACACTTGCCGATGGGAACTCCCCAGCGCGTCGCCGAGGCAGCGCTGGCGCGCGGGCCCTTCAGATCGTGTCGGTGGCTTTGGGCGGGCGCGGTGTCATGACGACATCGGCAACGGCGGCAACGATGATGATGATTATGATGATGAAGATGACGATGATGATGATGATAGGGGCGATAATGGTGGCGGTGATGACGACGACGGCAGCAAGGCCAATGACAGCGCTGATGCTGGTGACGCTGATGACGATGATGATGTCCATGTGTCGGCGATGGAGGTGATTGAATGATGATGGCGGCACAGGCGGCGACTGGCGATGACGATAATGGCGGTGATGCGATGATGTTGGTGAGGTCTATGGGGAGGAAGCTCGCACGCGAAATTATACAAAAAACCTGGCCGACGTGTCCTGACAAACACGTGGCCCCCATATGTTCTCGAGGAGCTCACCCGAAACGAACACCAATGGTTGTAGAAGGATTGTGGCCCGCATAGCATCGTGTGGTACGGATTCGCGCACTGGGCGCATAGTGGATCAACGCGGATGCATCGCGTGGTGGGATGGGAATGCTGCTGATGGGCGGGATTGATAAACGCAACCGGCTTTCTCATGATTTCAGCAAATGTGCGCAAGCAGAAAATGTGCAAGATTTGCGATGAAAAAAACCAAAGGGTTCTGGACAAGTGTATGTTGATGCCAGTCGGCCTAGGATGGTACGAATTCATATGGGCAGTGAACGACGAAGCAGCATCACATATAAATTTCAATGTCCCCTGGGTGCTCGACAAGCCCTGACTGGGGCCAATTCTTCTTCATAAAAGAGAATTTACGTGGCGCAGCCCGTGGTGTGAGCAATGTGGCGCAGGCGGCGTGGTGCGAACTAGATGTTGCAGATATGCAGCGCAATCCGGATTGCATAACTGGAAATCAGCAACTCAACTGCTCGAGCAATCAAGTCTTTCCTTGTGACTCGGGGTAAGATGACAACAGAATTAAGATCTCATGTTCACTCTGCTCAGCGAAAGAGGGTACGGGATGAGACATCGATAAGACAAGTAACCGGTAAGCAAGTTTACTCTATCAGGAATGGTAAGTGAGGTGGCCGGCCGGCCGACGACACGACGACGACGCGGGGACGACCCCGCGGCGCGCGCGCGAGCGAGCCAGCTCGCACCTTTTATCTCCTGTAAGCAACCATACAGCTGCGGATAATCACCGCAATCATAGTCAGACAGTGCGCAGCCATGCAAGTGATACAACAAGCAATATTAATATGAGGCGGAAAGGAGCTTATTTACTCCCCCCGCGGCGGGCTTCGTAGAGCCCATCCGGCCACAGCACCCCTGGCCTATATATGTGCAACCACCGGAGCGAACCGCAAAAACTTGCACCGCTCAACGGTGGCCACCAGGGTGCTAAGGGCCGGAGAGGCCCGACGACTCCCACATTCAAATAAATAAATTATCTCCGCTGGTTCGGCTTAGCCGATCAGCAGAGCTGCTTACTCGTCCGACACGACTTCGCCGCGCGGACGAGAACTCTCTTGCACGCGCCTGCCGCGACTAAGTCACGCGGGCGGAACTCAGTCCAGCTCCCTGAACGGGTTCTCTTCTCCCGTCGGCGGCGCCGGAGGCGTCGGGTTCGACGACGCCGAGCCTCCAGTCTGTCCCTCGCCGCCACGAGGCGAACGGGACCGTCCTTTGCCACTATTAGTGTAGTATGCTGCTCTGTAGTTATTCTCCTCGTTCTTGGACGCCTTCCCCTTCGGCGGGAAGTGCAAGTCATGCGCAAACGAAGACAGCGCGTGCCAAACCTGCGCCCACCAGACATCGTCGGACAACCACGTGATCCGATCCCGGTGGACGTAGTATCCGACCTGCACATCGTTCACGTAGCGCGGGTAGGACAGGAGCGGGTCGTAGCCGACAGCGCCGCGGCCGACATCCATGGCTCCATCGCGCGCGCGGGGGCCTCGACCAATCCCATGCGTCATAATGCCATGAGTATTCCTCTCTTGCCGCCACGGCTGCGCCGGCGACAGAGCGCGGGGATTCGGTAACTTCGTCGCCAGCCCGAGCGTCTGAGACGTCGGGTCTGCGCGGCGGAGGTGGCGGCTGCGGCCTGGATTTCGCCGCATCCTGTGTTCTTATTGGCCCCACGGAACCAGCTTCGCTGCCGTGGTGCGGATTGGCATTTCTGCTCTCACGAACGTTCTGCTCTCGATCTCGCATGAACTTCAGCAGACCCCTAGCAGCTGTAGCTACTGGGATGCCATATCTTCCGCATGCATTGCGGGATGGGCCTGCGTCCGTATCCTGGAGCTCCGTCCCAGGATCTATGTATTTATTCTGGAGCCAAGAAATGGCCTCCTGTAAAGATGCCCCCTCACGACGGATGTCGGTTTGCACCTGCCTACCCAACCCAAATTACGGGCCCACTCTTCTATGAGGTCGCCCGTTTGGACAGCGGCGCGAATGCGACAGTCTAGAGCATATTCACCTCTCCGTCGCCTCAAGTAGACGGGATCTGTGTTCTCTCTGGCGGGGCGAATTATTCGCACCAGGCAACCGACAAAGTGTCCATCTGAAATGAAGGAGCTCATGGTCTCGCGAACGATAGCAAGTATTCTTATGATGCGAAGACAAAGTTGCATGTGTTGTACAGGGGCCATCCAGCTCCCTTCAACTATGTTCGTCACAGTAGGTGGGACCTCGTGCCCCATTTCCCCTGACAGTCGCAATCTATCGGGATCATTCGAGTTCGAGCGAACGCCTGTGTACTCAACAACATATTGTGCTGCGATCGCCCTGGCCTCTAACGCGTGTAAAGATATATTTATCGAGCTGTCCTCGCAATGGTTATATGTATAACCGTCGGGCTGATC